AGGCCCTGAGTTCAAACCCAGGACTGGTTAAAAAAAAAATTGAGGAAATTGCTGCAACATGGTCACAAACTGAGTTAGACTAATTCCAGAATGCACACATAATGTTACTGTTCTTTGAGAAACTAATGAGATCCTCCTCAGGGAAAAAAAGGCGTATATTCATAACTTTGGGGTTTTTTTTGTTGATATTGTTGGTTGTGGGGCCTGAACTCTGGGCCTGGGCGCTGTCCCTCAGCTCTTCAGCTCAAGGCTAGCGCTCTACCACTTGAGCCACTTCCAGTTTTCTGGTGGTTAATTGGAGATAAGAGTCTCAAGGACTTTCCTGCCTGGAATGGCTTTGAACCATGATCCTCAGATCTCAGCCTCCTGAGTAGCTAGGATTACAAGTGTGAGCCATTGGCGCCCTGTAGAACTTCGTTTTAACATAAGTTTTATGAGGTTCAGGGGACCCTAGCTCATATGTGGACATTATGGACCCTTTACACTAAAGCATGCATAGCACTAATAGGCTTGCATACCACTTATGCCAGTTTGTTTCTCTATTCTCTAGTCATGAGTGCATCCTTGACCAAGCCCAGAAATGTTGTAAATACATATTGTAGATGTAATCTTCTTTTGCCTTTGGAGTCAATAAATTTCTTAGACTCCCTGGGACTATGAGGGCAAGGCTCCATCTCAAGATGAATGAATTCAGACTTCTTGTTTCAGGTAGCCACATGGGAGAAGCAGATCTACACATGTTGTCGAGATGGTCTTGTGCGACGCTATCAGCTTTCTGACCTCTGACCTTTTGATGGAGAAGTTCTAGTTGGTGAACAGTATCAACCATGAGCAGAAGCATCAGTCCTCCCCAAGTTCTGTGGCCCCCTAGTGTCTGTCTTCAGCACCCATAGGAAGTCACATCATGTGGGCTGCTCTAACACATGTGGAACTCTCATTGCTCTGAACGGAGTAGGACGCTCACGTGTGCTCACTGCCTCTGCCCCAGCTTCTTCTGTGTAAACTCACCGACAACAGGGCAAGGATCTGGAGACTTACAGTTTGTTCTTAAACTACTCGTATTAAATGTTTACAAGGAACAGAGGCCTGGTCTCTGGAAGAAATAAAGAAAATGTGTTTGTAGAAGCATGAATTTGGAAAACTTAATTACATTCTTTTACTCCCACAAAAAGCAAGTCCTTCCTCAGTGGTCCCTGTTGGCTGGCCCTAGAATAGGCTATTTGCAGTAACAGTGATACCCTGTAAACAGAAACCCAGTATGTGTGTGGGGGGATGTCTTAGATTGTTAGGACAACCAAAATCGAGACAGTCCCAGATAAACTGCAATAGTTGGTCAGCTTCTCCATAGATGAGGAAGTCCAGTCATAATCATTGTAAGTGGGGGGCTTATCAAAGTGGCGGGTTCTGAAACAGTGGTTATCAGTGTCATCCGGTTGTTAGAAATTTTGGGGCCTCATCCCATCAGAAAGTCTATGGGTCTTACCCAACACTGTGTATATGCCAACAAAACCCTTTGGGAGATTCCAATACATGCTCTAGGGCTGAGAATTGTGACCTACAGGAGGAGATGGTGAAGGGCACAATGCCACTTTGGCTTTTTTCTTTTTGCTTATGTGGTGCAGGGCCTCATGCATGCAAGGCAAGCGCTCTACCACTGAGCCACCTTCCCAGCCCCAGAGAAAGGGTTCTTGAAGGCAGGATGCAACACTTGGAAGTGCTGGGCCATACAGGCTAAGAGTGATTTACTCAAGGGAGGAAGGTTATTCCTTGGTTGGGGTATAGTAGAGCTGATAGTTTTGTTTGTTTCCTCATCCCCTCTCTTCCCTGTCTCTCTGTCACTCTTTTTTTCTTGTTCTAACCCTGGGGCTTGAACTCAGGGCTTGGGCACTGGTCCCTGAGCTTTTGTGCTCAAGGCTAGGGCTCTATCACTGGAGCTACAGCTCTACTCCCAGCTTTTTGGTGGTTAATTGGAGATAAAAGTCTCATGGACTTGCCTGCCCTTTCTAACCCTTTCCTGCCCAAGCTATAATCCTCAGATCTCAGCTTCCTGAATAGCTAGGGTTACAGGTGTGAGCCACTGGTCCCAGCTCTAATGTTTCCTTTTTTTTTTTTTTTTTGGCCAGTTCTGAGCTTGACAGGACATGGGTGCTGTCCCTCTTTGTGCTCAAGGCTAGTGATCTACCACTAGAGCCACAGCATCACTTCCGTTTTTTTTTTCCTGAGTCATTTATTGGAAATAGTCTCATGGACTCTCCTGCTGGCTTTGGCTTCAAACCATGATCCTCAGATCTCAGCCTCCTGAGTAACTAGGATTACAGGTGTGAGCCACCAGCACCCAGCCTATTGTTTTCTTTTAGAAACAAAATAATGCCAAGAAATTTTTACACCTGTTAAGGAATACTATATTTGTTTCTTACTAATCCAAAAGTGAAGTGAATTAATATTTGGCCATACTGATAGTTGATTTACACAAAGGGAAATCACTGAGTTAAAAAATATATAAATCCTTGGGCTGGGAAGGTGGCTCAGTAGTAGAGCACTTGCCTTGCATGCATGAGGCCCTGGGTTCGATTCCTCAGCACCACATAAGCAAAAAGAAAATAGCCGGAAGTGGTGCTGTGGCTCAAGTGGTAGAGCACTAGCCTTGAGTTGAAGAGCTGAGGGACAGTGCCCAGGCCCAGAGTTCAGGCCCCACGACCAAACTCCCCCCCCAAAAAAAATGTAAATCCAGGGCTGGGAAGGTGGCTCAATGGTAGAGTGCATGCCTTGCATGTATGAGGCCCTGGGTTTGATTCCTCAGCACCACATAAGCAGAAAAAGCCAGAAGTGGCACTGTGGCTCAAGTGGTAGAGTGCTAGCCTTGAGCTGAAGAGCTGAGGAACAGTGCCCAGGCCCAGAGTTCAGGCCCCACGACAGACAATAAATAAAAAAAATAAATGTAAATCCAAGTTTTCATTGCCAACTTTAAGATAAGAACTTAAACTTTAAAAACAAACAGGATGAGGGTGGATATGGCTGAGTGCACACAGCAAGAGACAGTCTAAGTTCACCCCAGGGTTCTTTCCTGTGTCACATTCTCAAGCCCTTTTTCATAGGTTTCCAGAGTTGGCATTCTGGTTGTGAAATATAGGGACCCCTTCACAGCTGCTCTGAACTCCTGGCCCAAGAGGAATAGAGGCTGGCTCATAGGTGCTGCATAGCTTTGTCTATTGTGAATGTAAGGATCCTTGTCAGCAAAGAGCACGCTTTTCCTTTAGGACTGAGGAATGCATTCTGGGTAAGAATGGACATTTGCAGCATCTCAGGCCAGTGAACGTCTGCACTGGGCCTTGTTTCTTGGTTTTGGATGCCCCCTTGTGATGCTGGCAGAGAAGTACTTCTGTGTCTAAATCCTAAAGGGCTCACAATGGCATCAGCAACCAAATTGCACATATAGTGTCACATACATACCACACAATAAATCAGGTTCATTTTTTAAAAATGTATCTCCTTGTGCATATATTTTATATTCCTTATTTCACCTTATTTATTTCTTGATGGTACTTGGGTTTGAACTGAAGGCTCATACTTGTTAAGCAAGTAGTCTACTTCCTGAGCCATGCCCCAAACCCAACTCTACTGAGAAGGCTGAGGATCCCAATATGAAGCCAGCCTTGGCAGGAAAGTCTGTAAGACTGATCTTCAATTCACCACCAAAAGGCTGGAAGTGGATCTGTGGCTCAAGCAGTAGAACAATAGCCTTGAGCAAAAAAGCTCAGGAACAGCAACCAGGCCCTGAGTTCAAGCCCCAGGATCAGCACCCTTGTCCCCCAACTAGGAATCTGAATAAAATAGGTACTTTAGTTACTAAGAAGTGTCAATATTGGTCATTTTTTATGACAAATGAGATGTTAATAGGGAAAATTAGGTGTTGTGTATATAGAAACTGCTATCTTCACAATTTTTCTGAAAATGTAAAGCTATTCTAAAATGTAAAAAAAAAAAATTCAAGAGCTGAGTGCCTGTGGCTCTTACCTGTAATCCTACCTACTAGGAGGCTGAGATCTGAGAATTGTAGTTCAAAACCAGCCCAGGCAGGACAGTCCATGAGACACTTATCTTGAATTAACCACCAGAAAACTGGAAGTGACAGTGTGGCTCAAAGTGGTAGATAAGGGCTGGATAGGTGGCTCAGTGGTAGAGCACTTTGCCTTGCATGCATGAGGCCCTGGGTTCGATTCCTCAGCACCATATAAGCAAAAAGAAAAAAGCCGTAAGTGGCACTGTGGCTCAAGTGGTAGAGCGCTAGCCTTGAGCTGAAAAGCTGAGGGACAGCGCCCAGGCCCAGCATTCAGGCTCCACGACCAGACCCAAAAAAACAAAACAAAACAAAGTGGTAGACAGAGCACTAGCCTTGAGCGAAAAAGCTCAAGGACAGTGCCTAGGCCCTGAGTTCAAGCCCCAAAACCAACAAAATTAATAAAATTCAAAAAAATTCAAAAATCAACTAAAAACAATTGTGAAAAAAAATTTTTTTTTGTTGGTTATGGAGCTTGAACTCTGGGCCTGGGCACTGTCCCTCAGCTCTTCAGCTCTACTACTTGAGCCATAGCATCACTTCCGGTTTTCTGAGTGGTTTATTGGAGATAAGAGTCTGCTGGACTTTCCTGTCTGGGCTGGTTTTGAACCGTGATGCTTACATCTCAGCCTCTTGAGTAGCTAGGATTACAGGCATGAGCCACCAGTGCCCAGCAAAAATTTTTAAAAGTGGCTGCTGTACATCTTAAAAATAAAACAAAATGGGGCCTTGTGACTCTCCCGTTTTCAGTTGATTGACCTTTAACAGAGTCATACAACTAGCTTCAGTTTTCCCTGTCATTTTATTCCTCTTAACTGAGAGTCCAGAAAGGGGTTCACTTAAGGACTACACCTCCCAGAGTGCCCCTGGGTGGTTGTCAGGGGCAACCAAGGAATGCAGACTAACAGCTTTGCTGGAGCCTGAGGACTGCCTCTACTACTTGCTGCCAGACAGCCATGGGTCAGGATTACTACTCTGTGCTCCAGATCACTCGAAATGCAGAAGATGCTCAGATCAAGCAGGCGTAAGTTTGGTGGGAGCCAGTCCTTGGGGCTGTGCTAAGGTAGCCTCACCCTCATCCTTTCCAACCCAACCTTTCCTGCACAGCTCGGGGCAGGCAAGGTGAACTGTGCTCCTTCTCTTGCTTCTTGCTTACTTAATTCTGTCTTTGGGCTGAGATTCAGATATCTTAGTTTCTCACTCAGTTCCTTGCACTTTATGCTCTATGCCCTGTTGCTTCTCATAGGTGCCGGCATTTTCCCAGCAAAAGAATGAGGACAAATGAGCCATTTGAATGGTATCCTGAGTTGTTTGTTTACAGCACTGGTGATTAAACTCAGGACCTTCTGCTTTCTAGATAGGGACTTTGTCAGTTGAATCAAGTCTCTGGTTCTATCCTGAGTCCTGTGGAGAGCAACAGGATTGTGAACAAGGGAAGGTTCTGACCAGATGGATGAGTTAAAAATCCATTCTGGCCATCATATGGGCTTGATCATTTTCTAAACTCTATCTCTGAAATCCTCCATCAAGTCTCAGAACTTTAAAGGTCCAGCCCTAAGAAAGTCTAGGACAGGAGTCAGCACACTTCTAAAAAGATTCTTGTTTGAGTTTTTTCTTTGAAAAAGAAATCAAAGAATATTTATTGAGTGCCAGCCATTTGTGTTTGGTACAGAGAAAGCTAAAGACACAACTAACTCAAATAGATACCTCCCCTGTCCTGAAGCAGCTTCATTTTGTTGGTAAATACAGAGGTTAAGTCACCGCAACCCTAATGAATGTTGCAAAAGGGAAAGTACATGGTGCCTAGAAGCTTCTATTGGAAAAGTACATGGTGTCTGGAAGGGAAACCTTTAAGGAGGCTGTTCTGGTAATTAAGTGCAAAGATGGGGCTTGAAGGAGAACTGTGGCTTTTCAGTAGAATGGAAGGAGAGGAGAGAGTAAACTTGGCAATCAAAGGTCATTGGAAGAAGAAAAGGAAGAAAGACTTAGTTGAGGTTGGGTAGTATATTAGCTGTACTTCTCAAATGCATAGGGGATGCTCTGAGAACCTTCTGTCACAAACTCATTCAGTCCTCCTTATGTTTTTGTTTGTTTGTTTGTTTGTTGTCGGTCGTGGGGTTTGAACTCTGGGCCTGGGCGCTGTCCCTCAGCTCTTCAGCTCAAGGCTAGCGCTCTACCACTTGAGTCACAGCGCCACTTCCCCAGTCCTCCTTATGATCCTGAGAGACTGACACCATTGTCATCCCATCAGCATGCACCAGTAAAAGGCAGACTGTAGTCTGACACTATCATGGGCTTGTCCCTGGGCCAGGTCCTGCAAGAGTCTTAGTGGGGCAAGCGGAGAGAGATTACCATGTGACTTGGAGAAACAAAACACAAATTCACGAAACAGTTTTAGACGGCATATGATGTAGATCTGCTGATCAAGGCATCACATTGGCTAATGAGACTTTTCAAGGCACAGTTTTCCTGGAAGAGCTGAGGCCTGAATCTCTGACCTGCTAGTTGTGTGACATGGAGAAATTATTTAACCTCTGTGAGCCTCAGTTTCTCATCTTTTAAAAAAGGAGGAGGAGGGCTGGGAAGGTGGCTCAGTGGTAGAGCGCTTGCCTTGCATGCATGAGACCCTGAGTTCAATTCCCAGCACCACATAAGCAAAAAGAAAAAAAACTGGAAGTGGCACTGTGGCAAGCTAGCCTTGAGCTGAAGAGCTGAGGGACAGCACCCAGGCCCAGACCGGACCCCTACCCCCCCAAAAAAAGTACTTTGTTAAAGTCTCATCTTAAATTTGGGCTGGGAAGGTGGCTAAGTGGTAGAGCGCTT